CCCCTTCTCCTTCCACAGCCCCATTCCCACGCCCTGTTTCTTTTCCTTCCAAATGCTGGCCAGCTCCAGTCTGGGGCTCTAAAGAGAAAAAACCTGCAGGGGGGACTTCCTCGGTTCCCCACCCTCTTGCTCACGGCCAGTCAGGGGTATAAGAGGAGCGCGCGGGGGGGGGGGAGCCCAGCCTGTCCCTTTCACAGACATACCTGGAAGCGCGGGTGCGGTCCAGAGAGCCCTGTCCACTCTTCCCTGAAGCCGGCCACCACAGGCAGGCGGCAGCCCCTTGTTCAGTGCTAGCCACCACGACCTGGCCGGGCCGGCCCGGGGCAGAGCCTCTGCAGTGCAGCTCCAGCGCGGGCCGCACTGTTGCCTAGCAACCAGCCGGACCGATTTAAAGGGACCGGGCACTGAAGGGACTGTGCTCTGCTGGCTGAGTACTGCCTTCCCGGTTATCAAAGCTGGGCCACAGCACTGAGCATGCCCAGTGGGGTGGACACTGTGGTGGCTTCTGCCTGGAGGAAATAAGAGAAGGGGCGAGAAAGTGCAGGGCCACCACGCCCACCAATGGTATTATTATAATGAGTCTGGGTGACTCTCAAGGCCACTGGACACTGACTGTGGAGGGACAGAAAGGGAGTTGCATAGGGTTAATCCCTAGGTTTGGTGTTTAGTAATGTAACATCAAGGAGGCTTTGCTTTGGAAGGTCACCTGGCCTGGGTTCAGGGTTCTAACAGTATGGGGATTTCACTCCACCCTCACCTCCACCCCCCACACACTCAAGTCAACACAATGGCTTAGCTAAAAGTTCTACATTGGGACAAGGAGCCAAGGACTTTGAGTCAGGAGAGCCTTGTCCCCTGGCTGTGCCTCTGAGAGATTAGGCCTGCCGATTTCTCTGTCTCTGTCTCCATTTTATCACTCAAGAATTTCCCTAAACTATGTTGAGCCTATTTGAATTAAAAACCTTCGAGGGCAACTAGTTTTTCACTACATTCAGTGTAAAATTGTTTGCTTTTATCAGTCCGGCAAGCACCCTCTTCACACTTTAAATCTCCTCACAACTTCTGGGGGTCTAGTTGGGTGACAAGCACACATTTTCATTATATTATAGATTTCAACAATGCTAGTTGAATAAATAAATGATCTCAGAGTTTGATTAGCCTGACTGTGCAGTGTAGATTCTTCAACCATCATAGTGTGTCTAACCAAGGCTGTGGGACCTGAAACAGGGGGTTGGGAGCATCAGAAATAGTTATGAGTGATTCTTTAGAAAGTTGGTCTTTTCTTAGAAGTATGAGAAAGGGAAATATTGGCTTTGGGATCTCAAGTGAAAGGACATTTTAAAAGTGACAATCTGATTTAGCAAGACCTAACAAGGGAGTGACTTAGGAATAATACCAGGATACATTTCAAAATTTCAAACTTTCTTTGGAACCGGATCTAACAGGTGTTTGGAAGTTGGCAAGGCTGCATTCGGGTGCCCTGAGGCCTAGTTCTCAAGCTGCCTTTTCCTTCTTAGGGAACCAAAGTCAATAGGCATTAGAGGGAGGAAGACGCCTAATATCAATGTGTCTTTTATTAAAAACCCTGTCAGAATTAGTTTGTGAGATTCTGACAAGCGTATCTTTGATACTAAATCTCCAGACTGCCCCATGCTGATAATTTGTTTAATTACCTTAAAAAGGGCTCCATTTGCTTTTTCTTGATATACAAGCCATTACTAATATAATAAAGGGATATTTCTCAGTAATTCTGTGCTTTAGTTTCCTCATTTGTGCAATGGGAGTAAGTATATCTCACTCATAAGAGTGTTGTGCAGAGTAAGAATATTGTTCAAGTCCTTATAATAAACCTTGACACAGAGTCAATCCTATGTAAATGATTGCCATTACTATCTTGCTCTATCATTTCATTACTATCCTAAAATATAAATAAAACTGCGCTGGCAGTGGTACTCTTGGGTATGCTCTGGAAAGCAGAGTGAAATCTTGATACTAATCACACCAAACCTTTATTTCAGGTGGAGTTCCAGAACCTCATTAAGCAGTTCCACCCTACTCCCATATTCTTGAAAAAAAAAGCAACAAAGATCACCTTGGTCTGCTGTAGTTCTGCTTTAAAGATGGTATGTTATTTCTTCATGGTCTAGAAGTAGCAAAGGGCAGACAATGAAGAATTGTGAGAACAGAAGTTTTTATTTTTCAATACTACAATGGTCTTGGAAGAATATGAAAGTCAGAAAATTGTCTGCTATCCCCTGAAACCATTCCTGATACTGAGATAGCAAAGCATTTGATAATAATAGAGTCACACAATCATACAATGGAGCCCAACCTTCTCATTTTACCAGGTAGGTAGGATATTAAGACCCAGAAAAATAATATGATTTACTCTTTGATCACACAGCAAAGTAGGCTTCTTTGATTGCCCTGGCAAGCAATCCTAGTTTTAATAGCCTCAAACATGGAACAATTTGAACAGTGAAAATATATATACATATAGGCCCGTATTGCATATACATAAATATTTAAATACTAATACAGATAATGATAATAATAGTTAGCATTTATCATACTCCACACTGGTATCTCAATGCGTTGTTAGTAGTATCTTCATGATGAATCTAGAATCTGTTTCTTACCATCAGTCTCCATCATTAGTCAGCCCAATTTTGGCTCTCATCATTTCTTGACTAGATTATTGCAATCACTGTCTATTTATATCAACATCTCCCTACTCTCACTCTAAAATGACCCCTGACCTCACCTACTCCCTTTACCTTTACTATCTCTACTCCAGCAGAGTGGTTGTGTTGTTCTGAAAACATCCAGGTAACCCCCCCCCAACCCCAATAGGAACTTTGCTCAACCTGTTTACTTTGTTTTGAAATCTCTTCCACACAATATCTAGATATCTTCTTACCACACCCCCCCTTAGTTTCTAATACTCTAAAAAAAGCAACTTAAGAACGAGTTTATTCTGGCTCATAGTTCAAAGATACAATCCATCATGGTGGGGAGGTCAAGGCAGCAGGAACCTGAGGCAGACGGTGACACACAATGAAGAAGTGGAGAGCAATGAATGCATGCTGCTGCTCATCTCCCTTCGCCATTTATACAGTCTAAGATCCAAAAGGGAATGGTGCCACTCACAGCAGATGTGTCTTCCCACTTCAAAATTCCTACACCTGATAAACACTTTCAAAAGTATCAGGATATAAAAGCAACATTAAAAAGTTTGTGGTTTTGCCAAGTGTGGTGGTAGATGCCTTTAATTCCAGCACTTGGGAGGCAGAGGCAGGCAGATCTCTGTGAGTCAAGGCCAGCCTGGTCTACATAGTGAGTTCCAGGACAGCTGGGGGTTTCAGGCAGACCCTGTCTCAAAAAGACCAAAAAAAAGTTTGTGATTTTGCCAGGTGTGACAGCACACGCCATTAATTCCATACTCAGGAGGCAGAGGCAAGTGGATCTCTGCTAGATTGAGGCCATGTTGGTCCTCATAGTGAGTCCAGGCTACCTGGGGTTACAGGGAAACACTGTCTCAAAAAACTTTTTTAGGTTAGCAATTTTTCTGTATACCAAATAGTAAACTTGCCAAGAAAGAAATCAGGGAAAAATAAAAATATCCCATTCACAATTCCTTAAAAAACTAGGAATAAACCTATCCAAGGACATGAAAGACCTAGATCACAGAAACTTTAAGACACTAAAGAAAGAAATTGAAGACACTAGAAGATGGATTGGCACAAATGAACTACAGATTCAGCACAATCCCTATCAAAATCCCAATGACATTCTTCACAGAACTAGGAAAAAAAATCTTCAAATTAACATGGAAATACAGCAGAACTCCAATTGCCAAAGAAATCCTAAGAAAAAAAGCTGGAGATAGCACAATACCTGTTCTCAGTTACATTACAGACCCCAGGTTGTTAAAAATCAACATGATACTGGCACAAAAATAGACATGTAGACGAATGGAATAAAATAGACGCAAAGCTACAGCCACTTTTAAAATTTTGTTTCTTATTTTTATTTTATGTGTATGAGTATATTGCCTGCATTTGTGTAAGTATACCCATGTTGTGCAGTGCCATGGACGTCAGAAGAAGGTGTGTGTGTGTGTGTGGCGGAAAAAATCAACATGATACTGGCACAAAAATAGACATGTAGACGAATGGAATAAAATAGACGCAAAGCTACAGCCACTTTTAAAATTTTGTTTCTTATTTTTATTTTATGTGTATGAGTATATTGCCTGCATTTGTGTAAGTATACCCATGTTGTGCAGTGCCATGGACGTCAGAAGAAGGTGTGTGTGTGTGTGTGTGTGGCGGGGGGTATGTGTTTGTGGGCACATATATACCATGGCAATCCTATGCAGGCCAGAGGACAACTTTCAAGACTAAGTTCCCTCCTTCCACCAAGTGTGTCCCAGGGATTGAATTCAGATCATCAGGGTTAGTGGCAAGCTCCTTTACACACGGAGCCACTCTGCTAGATTATTTTTTAATCTTCGTGATGTCTGTTATATTATTTCATCAACTTATTCTTCATCCCCAGTACTCTTTGTTATGCTTTGTGTAGACTATTAGTACTGATTTTCATTATGATTTATTTAATTCATTGGGTTTTCCATTTCCAAAATTTCTCTGTATTTTTTTCAAAATCTCAATTTCCTTACTGAATTTTTCTTCCATATTATTGACTTTTTCATCCATATTGTTGATTTTCTCATTCATTTTTTGGCACTTTCCTCTATGTAGCTGACTTTCCAGGTCTTGGATTGAATTTGTCTTCTTGTTTACATCTTCTTTTAAGTCAGTGATCATTTTTACCAATAATCTTTTGAAATTTTTAATCCTATATTTTTCTGACTTCAGTGTCTTTTTTTCAGTAGTTGAGGAATTACAATCTTTTAGAGGAGTCACATAATTTTACCTTTTCATAGTTCTTGTTTCTGTGTTGTGATTTTCACTTCTGTGTGTTTGTTTGTTTGTTTGGGTATATCTTCCAGTTTTGTGGGTTTTTTTTTATTTTTGGTCTTTTTGAGACAGGGTCTCTCTGTAGCCCTAGCTGGCCTGGAACTCACTATATAGACCAGGCTGACTTTGAACTCACAGATATCCACCTACCTCTGCCTCATGAGTGCTGGGATTAAAGGCATGTGCCACCACACCCAGCTTTTTGATGATCTCTTCTTGAGCTATCTACTCTTTGTTTTAAAAGGAAAAATCCACGTTATTTTTAAAATATTTTATTTATTACTTTATGTGTACGAGTGTATTGCC